ATATRATAGATGTTCCATTCCCCTAACCATCTTTGTCCTCTGCTGGACTCTAAGAAGCTCCACATCCCTCTGTGCAAGAGGTACAGAGGTGCACAGAACTGCCCCCTGTGCTCCAGGTGYGGCCTCACCAGAGCTGAGTAGAGGGGCAGAATCACCTCCCTTGACCTGCTGGCAACATCCTCCTGATGCAGCCAGGATCCCAYTGRCCTYCTTGGCCACGAGGGCACTGCTGACTCATGGTTAACTTGGTGTCAACCAGGACTCCCAGGTCCCTCTCTGCGGAGCAGCTTTCCAGCAGGTCAGCCCCTAATCTGTGCTGGTGCCTGGGGTTATTCCTCCCCAGGTGCAGGACCCTGCACTTGTCCTTGTTGAACCTCAGGAAGTTCCTCTCTGCCCAGCTCTCCAGCCTGTCCAGATCCCTCTGAATCTCAGCCTCTTGGAGTGCTGGCCACTCCACCCAGCTTGGTGTCATCTGCAGACTTGCTCAGGGTGCACTCCGTGCCCTCGTCCAGGTCATTGATGAACAAGTTGAACAGCACCGGGCCCAGYACTGACCCCTGGAGACACCCCTGGCCACAGGCCTCCAACTGGACTCGGCCCCATTTATCACCAGCCTCTGAGCTCTGCCATCCAGCCAGTTCTCAGTCCACTTCACTGTCCAGTCCACATTTCCATAGCTTTCCTGTGAGGATATTATGGGAGATGGTGTCAAAAGCCTTGCTGAAGTCAAGGTAGACAACATCCATGGCTCCCCCCTTGTCCAGCTGGCAAGCCACATCACAGAAGGGTATCAGGTTTGTCAACACGATGCGTGGCTGGAACAAGACAGGTTCAGGGGTGGCAGTTTGAGTGTCTGCTCAAGGACCAGCTCAGATGTAGCTGGGTCGGCCACGGCAATTGGGTGACACGGGTGACATGCTGCTGAAACTACCTGCGTTCCCTACTGGCCACTTGCTGCTGCTTTTCTTTGTTTTTTCCCTTCCCTCTCAGGTAGCTTAGACAGCAGTAGAGCCATTCAGAGCTGGAGAAGGTGAATCTTGTGGTGGGTGTTTTGTCACTTGGGAAGCTTTCTTGCTTAATAGTAGGCTATGCTATCCACCTCCTCCTGAGAGGTGTCCGTTTGGGGAGTTTGCTGAGGTGCTTCCTGACGTTTCCATATGGTTTAGATAAGAATACGAACGCAGTAAAAACCTTTGCACTGGAAAAGCAGGGGTTGGAAAGCGAGGGAGGGAATAGGAGGTGAATAGCATGTCTTGTTTGCCACTAATGCCCTTGGGCAAATCTGTGCTCCTGAATCTSCTGCGGTTCCTGCATGGAGTAGCCTCTGAGAAATTTAAGGGGGAATGTAAAGGTAAAACCAGCTACAGGCTCCTTGGCCTTCACAATCTGTTGTAGACTGTACTTAAGAAATCAACATTAAAGCAGTGATATGTGGTATTAAACGTGATTTCTTACCTGCTGGGTGGACAAGTATAAGCAGAGCTCTTGGTGCAGAGATCGCTTGTTGTTAAAAAACACTTTAATCACATGTGGGACAAGGCTTATTGGTCCCTCCTCTGTGTGCTTCATCCCAGAGGAGAAAGCTGCAGTTTTAATGCACGTTTTTGCCCGGAACCGTGGCACACACTTGCCCAGATACTTTGGGAAGAGGCTCCCAGCGCTGACAGAGCGCGTGGAGCCACGGGGTGGGTAACGCTACGGCCTAAGGTCGTGACGGCAGCTTGTGCCGAAGCAGGGGAAAAGTCCTGCTGGTGTGGCTGCTTCCTCATGGAGCTAATGATTAACGCATCAATTAGCTATGAGCAGAAACCAAATGTGTATGCTTAAGATAAAGCAGAGCGTACGTGAAATGACAAGGTATCGTGGTATTTGTTTTAGAGAATTAAAGTAGGAGTTATTTGCGTTGCATTGTACGGACTGGCACGGTGCGATTACGGGGAACACTGCCCCTTTCGCAGCAAGGGTGATTCACTGGTCTGCAGCCTTTACCACTGCTCAGAAAATGGGGGAGTCTGTCCTTCTGATTCCACATCCCATCCTCTTTTTCTTTTCTCTCGGAAAACTCAATGGGAGGATGAAATTTCTTCTCAAAGCTGATCTCTGCTCTGTTCTTGTCATTGGCTGGTGACAGCTCTCACTGGGGCAGAGTTGCCCTGTTTAGGCTCTCTGCGCCTTTTCATCAGCCACTTGTCTTAAAAATGGCCCTGCAGTGAGGCAGGGGTGAAAAGCAGAGGTGAAACCCAGCGAAAGCAGAGGTGCAGAGGAGATGGTGAAGGTGGTAACTTGACGGGGAAGAGCTGACCTTGATGCCCCCTTGATCCCGTTGTGAGCTGYTGTGCTCGAGCGCCTGCATGCGGAGACGTGGATCAGCCCCGCGAGTGCCCGTGTCCCAGGGCACAGGCTCCAAACTGGAAAAGCCATTTTGTTTAATTTTTCAGCAAGTGTTTCATAACAGCACTTCAAGGGCTGTCACTTTGTTCAGACGCTTCTTGGTTCTGTTTAAGGCTTCTAATGGATTAATCCTGAGCACCTGAGGCAAACGCTTCTYGTATCCTCCAGCCATAGGCCTCTAAGATGAAGAAGTCTGCAGTGAAACTCAATTTGACCCACTTTTTTTATTAAATTCAGCTAATCATCAAAATATTGGTTTGTGTGGGGTGATGGACTTTGCAGCATTGATGCGTCACTGGAGAGGGGTCTCTTGTGCATTTGCCAGCATTGCTCTCTGGCTTATTCTCAAGTGAAGCTGTTGCTCCAGCAGAAAAAGGCAGTGGTTCTAGATTTCKTCCCTGAATGGTGTCTTGGTTGTGGCTAAAATATAGCCTTTGCTTAACAGCARACTGCATTGTCTGTTCTTCCTGTTTTTGTCTTGTCCTTTGTCTCGGGAATGTACAAAAGCTTGGCACCAACCACCTAACTTCAGATGGTAGCTCCTCAGTGTGAAGTCAGCTTGGTTAAGTCGGAAGGCAGTGCTGGTTATCRGCCCGGCCTGTTGTATCGTACCTGAGCCTCGAGTCTCCCCGGCTGCCTCCTTGACCTCAGGGACTCAGTGTGTTCCAGCGACACCAAAGCCCTGCTCTGTCACTTCTCCAGGGAGAACCAGCAAATGAGCAGCCGGAGCTGCTGAGACGGGGCTGTCCAGGCTCGGATGCCAGCGAGGCTCCAGGCTTTCCCGTGTGAAGCCGTGGGGAGTCTGCTGGAGGGCCAGGTTGGGGCTGCCACCCGCTGTGCGCGTGCAAGGTTGCTGTCAGGACCTCTGTCCCATGCACCCYGGGGTGGATTTTCTCCTTCGCTTTGAAAGGGCTGAGGCTGACGGGCGCAGTGGGAGCGCTGGGTCCCCGGCGGCTCTGCCTGCGGCGGAGGATGAGCAGCCAGGGCTGTGACCCGGCCTGTCCCCCCCTGGCTCTGCAGCACCCCCACCGTCCAGGGCTGCCTGCGGACCAGATGGAGCCGGGGCACCCCAGGCGCTCCCTGCACGCTCAAATGCAGCTGTGAAGCCTGGAATGACGGCCTGGGCCAGGCTCGTGGGCGAGGACACCTTTCCCCAAAGGCGAGGACAGGCTCATGGGCTTCAAACTCCGCTGCAGTCGCAGGGGAGCGAGTCCAAACGCAGCAGGGAGGAGCTGAAGGGAACTGCTCCGCTGACCTGAGCGGGGTCTGGTGCCTGCTGCAATGGGCAGGAATGTAACTGGCAGCCCAGAGCAGCCGTGGGCAGGACGCAGCCTCGCGCCCACCCRCGCGCGAGCTGCAGTGTCCTGAATGGGGAGCAGGGAGCGCTGAGGATGCCCCATGCCGAGGTCAGCGCCACAAACGGGGCTGCCAGAGGTSTGAGCACTGGCCGCGGTGTGTGAGGGACACGGGTGGAGCTGGGACCCGTCACCAGAGCCAGGGAACAGCTGCTCATTAAAGCAGGCTGACAAATCCCACTCGCACAGGTAGCCTCGGGAATCGGCATCTCCTGGAAAACTGCCCCGGATGCTCATCTGGGCCCCTGTCCCCACGGCCAGGCCAGCCGTGCAGCTTCTTGTCATCTCCCCTGGGCTAAAGCTTTGGAGCTTTCTGCAGCTTTTGCTTGTACACAGAGGTGACCCTGCGGCACTGCTTGAGTGCTAGGAATCTTCCCCCTTGTTTTTTTCCAAGTCAGCCTTCTGCTAATCCTGGAGCCCTCTGGACGTGGCCTGTTTTTCCTGTTCCTCGGTGTGCCGGGCAGCTGTGGAGCAGCACAGTGACACAGGGCTTCACAAGGAAAGGGGCTGCTGGAGGGGGCTCTCGTGGAGACGTGTCCCACCACTGCCCCAGCCTCACCCCACTCACCCTCCCAGTGATGGAGAGCAGGCCGGGCAGCTTCCCTGTCCTGCTGCTTCTGCAGGACTTGCTGGCTGGGAAAGGTGCCTCCCTGCTGCCACCTCCTGCCACGGGGACCTTGCGTCCCCCCGTGCTCCCTCAGCAAAGCCCACCCCGTTGTGAGCAGCCCCTGGGTGGAGGCCAGTGCTCCCTCCTGTGCTTGCCCAGAGCAGATGTGCTCTGGGCTGAACCAGGGCTCTTGCTTGTCTGTGGTAACCAAAATCGCACAAAAATCCAGGTAAGAAAAATCCAGTTGAGCCCTGGCACAGGCTGCCCAGAGAGGCTGTGGAGTCTCCTCTGGAGATCTCCCAAACCCACCTGGATGCGACCGGGTGCCCCGTGCTCTGGGTGTCCCTGCTGGAGCAGGGGGTTGAACTGGATGATCTSTAGAGGTWCCTKCCARCCTCAAACATTCTGTGAAAAATGTGCTCCAGGCTGGGAGCCAGGCCGGGGTCTGAGAGCCCATGGGGGCTGCGTGATGTCCCCCGGGCCACCCAAGCCATGTGCTGGAGCAAGGATGGGTCTTGGGCTGCACAGGCCTGTGGCCTGCGGGGAAGCTGGTGCTGCTGCCTTCCCCACGCAGGAGGGAGGCGGCAGCGGGCTGGGTGGCGCGGGCTGCCCGCAGCACTAACCGGAGCTGTGCTCTGTGTGCGCAGTGTACGTGGTGGAGGAGCGGCGGAGGGACGACACGGGCGAGAGCGCCTGCCTCACGGCCTGCTGGACCGCGCTCTGCTGCTGCTGCCTCTGGGACATGCTGACCTGACCGCCGCGCCGCGCGCTCCGCAGCCTCCAGCCCCACTCCTTTCTGTTACTGTAATCAATGCTCTGCTTTGCACAGCCACGAGCTCCTGTCTGTCAGCCCTAGCGCCGGGGGAGGGAGGGAAGGGAGTGCACTCCTTTATTTGAGTAAAGGAAAATCCCTTTTTAAGATTTCTAAGACTTTTGTTGTAACTCTTGAAGAATGTGCTAATGGTATATTTTGGCCAAAGGCATTCTGATAAAATGTGTATTTATCAGTTGACATTTTCCTAGTCCTAGAAATGAAGGTATATGCAATAATTAAAGCCAACCGTTGATTTTCTTTGCTCGGTCCTGATTGTTTCAATAAATCTGTCCAACAGAGGGTGTGCTCTCCCTGTCGCTGTCTCGGCTTCCCRCAGGTCAGTGCAGCGCCGACGCGGTGCCGCTGACCCGTTCTGCGGCAGGAAGCTGGGCCCGGCCCTCTTGCGCGGGGCCAGCGGTCTGGCCCTGCTCTTGCCAGCAGCTGTGGGCTCTGCTGCAGTGACTGCTGTTGCCCAAGCACGCCTGGCACCCAGGAACCCGCTCTTTGGGGCAGGTGGAGCAGCCTCCGTCGGACACCAGAAGCTCCCTCCTCCACACAGGTTTCTCAGCCCTCTCTTTTGCTCAGGGCTGCCCTAGAGCTTGTGACACTCAGGTCTCCTCCTGGTCCCCTGAGGTGGGGGCCTGTCTGTCAAGTCTTGGAAAGGCAGAGCCGAGGGAAGTGTTTCCCTGGCCTTGGCGCTGCTTTGGCAGCGGCTGCTGGGAGCAGCAGTGACGCCCTGAAGGTCTTTGTGAGCAGTGATCCATCATCCCGCCCGCTGCAGAGCAGGCTCTAGGGGAGGTGAAGAGCTGGCTATGGAAAAAACAAGGCCATGGATTAATTTACTGCTGAGGGTTTCTGCCTGAAGCCTCTTCATGGCAGGCGGGGCCAGAGGAGGGATAAACAGCTTTTATCTGCAGAGAATCGGGTGAGACTGCTGCCCTTCAGCTGCGCACACACGCTCAAGGTGAGGGTCCCCCCAGCTGTGCTGTTCCTGTCTGGCCTTTGCCAGGCACAAAACTGCGCCCCGATTGCTTCAAGTTGCCTTTGCTCCACAGTGGTTGAAGATCAGCTAATGAGGCAAAGCTTTTAAAATGTGTGTGTCCTTTTGATTATAATTTTTTTAATCCTGTGCCTGASGGTGCTCTGTTCCCAGCTGCAGGCGGTGCTGGGGCAGCCTCCTGAGCCTGGCAGCAGCAGCTGGGCGCTGTGCGAGTGAAGCTGAAGCAGGTTGTGCTTGGGAGAGCCCCAGGGTTCGTCTGCTCTCCAGCCCTGGGTGCCTGGCTGCAGCAGCCGCCTCGAGGGCTGGTGCAGGAGCGCGGCGCAGCGGGGCCGGTGCTGCGGCCCTGCAGGGCTCCCGCGCGGCGCGGCCTCTYGCTGCGCTCCTTGCGGGTGTTTCAGCAGGGAGTTTCCTGCTCAAGTGGGTGCTGAGGAGCCCTACAGGTGCTACCSTGCTTGCCTTGCCTTGGGAAGGGCACTCTGGGGGCTCCCCACGAGCCCCCTCGCGTTCCCCAGCAGCAGGGAGGTCAGGGCGGGAGTCCAAGAGTCTCAGCGTGGGCACAGGCTCCCAGCGGGCACTGCCTGTGCCGGGGGTGCCAGTCCTGCCACCACGTGTGGCCTCAGGCCTTCGGCAAGAGAGGGGAGCTGCAGGGTCAGGGCATGAGGCGCAGGCCGAGCCTTGCTGCTGCCCAGGGATCACGTGGGTCCTGTGCCGGAGGGGGCAGCCCGTCACCACGTGAGACAGATGACAACCTACCTGTGTGGGACACTGAGGTGCCCAGGACGCCACCTCTGCTCTCCCTGTGCCACAGCCGCGTCCCTGCAGCCTGGCCCGGGCAGGAYGCAGGCGCTTTTGGGAGCAGGAGGGCTACACCTCAGCAAAAGGTAAGGAGGACCGAGCGCTCACCCCACACTCTGCCTCCAGCGTCACCTCCAACCTGCCTGCCTGTGCAAGTGTTCCCAAGACATCTGAACTTCYGAACCCTTCAGAGGACTCCTTGCCCAGCACTGGGGCCGGGTGCTGAGCACCTTGGGGAGCTTGAGCCCAGGCTCAAGCAGACTCAGGCTCAGCCAGACTCAGCTGAGTCCAATGGGAAAAGGCCCACACTGGCCCTCGAGTCACTCGCTCTCTAATCCCTGTGAGACGCTGCAGGCAGACGACTGAGTGACCGCAGGCTTTGCAGTAGAGTTTATTGGAACAAGCAGCTCCAGGCAAGGTGGTAGGGGCCACCATGCAGCGGGGCAGCAGTGACCACAGGCAGGAGCTACCCCAAAACCCACTGCAGGCTGACCATGGCGCGGGGGGCACCCTGGCAGCTACTGTGCCCGTCGCGCCATCAGCATCTCCCGGATGTTGTCTTCCGCCTCCTTCACACTCCGCTCCAGGTACGACTTCTTCTGCTGCAAGGCAAAAAACCAAAAGCAGTAGACAGTTAATGCCCGTCACACTGCTGACAGCACATGCCATAGGGACTGGAGCAAGGAAATTTCTAGGGAAGTCCTCTAAACATCCTGTGAGGGCACGCGGGACACCAGGCCTCTTGTGGAACATTGCCTCTGTTGCTCACTGCCAGAGGCAGCCTGGAAGAGTTAACATTTAGCCTCTTTTCCTACTTTTTTGGCCAGGCAGTTTACATAGACCTTGAATTTTGTTCCCTCTCAAACTTCCTCCTCCCATTTCCTGGGGCAACAGCAAAGACCTGGAGACAGCGACTGCAAAGATGAAGAGCAAGGAAACTGGAGCCTGAAACGTTCTTCTACCAAGAAGATTTGGTAGAAATGCCCAGGACAATGTCATACCAAGGCCGGTAGCTGTCAGCAGAATTCTTTCATATACAGGTTTAAAAAAGAAAAAAAAAAAAAAGGCAATTTAAAAAAAAAGAAAGCTCTTTCTCCCAGGTTTCAAAAGCCTGACCCTCCTCACCATAAGCTGCAGCTTCAGGCATTGCCTGCCATTGTCATAAAGTGTGCTTCATTAATCACCTTTAATTAGGCCCTGGGAAGCGGCTAGAGCTGCGCATGCCGAGGGGAATTTGGCAGGTAGCATTTTGGTTTTCCTTTCCTGCTTGTCTGGGTATTCCTGGGTGCTGGAAAAACAAAAACCCTGCCTTTAGCTCTTCTCCCCCTTTTCTCWGGGTTTCCAAATACCAAGAGAGAGCAGCTGAGCGGGCCGGTGGGCAGAGCTGCGGTGCGGCCCGCGGCGGCTCCCGGCCACGCAGGGAGGCTCCGCGCGGCGCCACTTGCCCGGGAAGGGGCTGCCGGTGCTGGCCAGGCCGGCCGCGCCGGCTCCTCGCGGCGCTCRCCACCCTCCGGCCTCCTCCTCCTCCTCGGCGGCCTCGGCAGCCCGGCGGGGAGCTGGGGCTCCGAGCTACGAGCCAGCAGGTACTCGCATGGTCACTCACCCTGAGGGCATCTCAGCCCCAGCACGGCCTACAGCACCCCACCTCCCAGCCCCGCCGGAGCAGCCTAGAAGAGGCTGAGCAGCCTCCAAGGGCAGCTCAAAGTAGCCACCGGAGCGCCGAGCAGCACCCAGCCCTGCACGGGCACCCCAGGGCGCAGGCAGCGCCTGTCCCAGCCACGCGGCCAGCGCGTCCTTGAGCGACGACGGGAGGCGCCCGGCAGCGGAGAGGGGGCCGCACGGGGACAAGGAGGCCTCCAGGCCCCACATACGTCCCCGCAGACCCTCCGCCCCCGCGGCCCCAAGGCGGCTGCCCGAGGAGGGCAGGGCGCTCGCAGCCCTCAGAGGGGCAGCTGAGGGTGTGAACGAGGGGCCACAGCGACTGCCGCGAGGGAAAAGGCGAAACCCGCTCAGGAGGCAGCAGGGAGCGAGGCCTGGGCAAGGAAGCCCGTGAGGCTGGGAACGGGAGAGCCGGGAGAGAGGGAGCTGGGAGAAAGGGAGTCAGGCCGAGGGCTGCGGAGTGGAGAGGCGCCGCTCAGGGCCCCCCTCGGGGACGCCACGGTCCCACGCGGCGCTCCGAGCCGCCGCCAGCCCGGCCCTGCCGGAGCCCAGCGCTGCGTCGCACACAGGCAGCGGGAGCAGCAGGAGTCGCTTCCCGAGGAGCCACCGCCAGGTTTCTGCTTAGGCAATCACGGGAGAAGCAGCAGGAACTTGCGTGCGAACCTCTCCTTGCCCCAATTACTGGGGTCTAGACAGGAAGGCAGTGTGACTCGAAGGGCCTCCTTGCGGGGAGCAGCGCCGTGAGCAAGCGGGGCTGACACCCACTCTGCCTGCTCACAGCCACAGCCCGGCCAGAGGGGCTGACAGCAGCCGCGCTTAAGTCATCCCTGAGACCGGGCACTTAAGTCATGCCTGTCATCCCTGAGGCCGTTCCAACACCGCCGGATCGGCTGGGCTGGCAGCCCTGCGAGCTGTGAGAAACACCCGCCACAGCACCCACCTGCACCCTCCCCACAGCTGCAGTTGTACTTGGCGTGGCGCTGATGGGCAGCCCGGCTACCTCCAGCTCCCACATCCCGGGCCAGACGGCGGTTGCTGGGCGTCAGCTCTGATCTTCCCTAGGCTCGGTCCCTAGGGAAGCTGTAAACTGGCTCCTCCCTGAGGACACGGCCTCTGCAGCGGCACCGCTTGCCAGGACGTGGCAGCACCCGGCCCCGTGGGGCCCAAGGGCCGGGCTCCTGGCTGCTCCGGCAGCAGCGGGGCCGGGGCCCTGCAGCGCAGGGGCGACCTGCAGCACCCAGCCCCAGCCGGGGCCTCGGCGTTCCCCAAACCGCTGCACGAGCCACGCACACTCAGGTCCCAGGAAGGAGAGGCACTCTGGGGAAGCTGAGGGGCTGCAGGTCACCCGGCCCCCTCAGCTCGTGCAAACGCTGGCCCCACAGAGCCAGCAGCYGCATGAGAAACAGGGCCAAGGAGCACGGGGGAGCAAAAGGGGACACTGGAGGATATAAAGGGGGTGCAGCAGGAAGAGGCTGGCTCGGCAGCTGATGGCTCCGGCCTCAGCAGAGCGGCTGGTTCCTCCCTCTGGTCGCCCGCAGGACGGCCTCCTTGCTGGAGGTTTATCTGCCACTCGGGACACKCGCTCTGGAGCGTCAGCGGAGCTGACTCAGCAAGCTCCATTCCCCAGTCTGTCCGCGCGCCCGCTCGGCAGCCCGGCCCCTCCGGAGCTCTCAGGAACCCTGCCTTGTTCCGCAGCGCTGCCCGTGCCCGACAGCGAGGACAGGAGCTCCCGAGCGGGCCAAGAGCTGCTCTCCAGAAGGTGCTAACCCGGAGGAGCTGCCTCTGGAGGCCAGTGCACAGCCCCGTAGTTTCAGACTGCCTTTATAAACCGAGTCTGCTGCTGACAGCAGCTCGGGCAAGGCTGAGYACAAACCAAACCGCAGAGCTGCTGCTCTCATTGGAAAACACACCAGAAAATACAATCTTATCTTTCACCGGAGCTTGCTTCTGGAGCCAGGTTGGCCCATTAACAGCTGCCCAGCACTGAGACAGCGGGTGGGAGGACACGGCCGGCGAAGGGCTCTCGTCCGGGCAGCAGAGACAACCCAGCCACATGTTAAACTGCTCGGGGGCTGAAGCTCCTGTCACTTCATGGTGGCTCAGGAGCCACCCTGGGTGCCCTACTCTTTGATCATAGGTAGTGTCACTGTGTCTTGCCTGCTCTTCCTTTGCTTAATCGCACCGGGGAACCTGCCCCCATTCAGAGCTTTCCTGCAGCCATTAACCCTATGAGCAAGGAAAGGGGGAGAACAACATGTGCCAACCTGTATGSGATTTCAGTAGCGCTATGTAGAGTCAAACCGCTACGGCCCATGTGATCAGAGATGCAGCCAAAAATAGGACCGTCTTCCCAGGCAGCTCCACATCAACCTCCTGCGTGCTCTGCACATGAGGAACGAGGGCTGGGCAGCTCAGGCCCTGCACAAGGAGCTCCAGGCCTCTGCAAAGAGGACCAGTCCACAGGCCCACAACACACAGGCTCCCAACTGCGCCTACTGCAGCCTCAACAACAACAACAGGCCTGCTGGCCCCAGCGCCTGCCGCCCCGGCCCGCCCAGCCCCRGCTCCTCTGCGCCCTGCTCGTCTCTGAAGGCCTGGCACAAGCTCAGAACAGCAGCTGATTCGGCTCTTGGGCAGAAGGGCCATGAGGCAGCGCCCCCAAATCCAAACTCATGCYCTTTACCCACGGGCCCGCAGAGCTGCCCTCCTGCTTTCGGCCGTGGCGGGACAGATTCCCTGCATCCCCGTCCCTGCCGCTCCGCTCTGTGCCTCTCCCTTGGACTTCACTCCCRCTGCCAGCTTGTTCCTCACCCCACACTATTTGCTTTCAGCGGCAGCTGCAGAAATACTAGATTTGACGCAGATACAGCCAGAGCTCACACCCTAAAGAAGAAAAGAAGTTGCGGTAACAGACACAGCCTGTGACCTTCTGGCACTCCAGGAAGTCCCGTTCCACCCGATGCCTTCCTACCTCCACTTCTATTGCATCACTTTGCGAATAAGCCTGTAGCTGAAGCAGCGCTTTGCGAGGAGAAGAGTGTGATGACACATCCAGACCTTACATTCCTGGCAGATGAAAGAAYCAGCATCCACAAATTCCACAGCAAGAAAGGTCTGTTAATCAGYTCCTCGCTGGCTAGCTTGAGATGACCAAAGTAACATATTTCCTACAGCACTGCAATTTCGGGTTCGTTGCCTTTGTCAGTTTTTGGCCAGACCCACATGTCTGCTGAGTTTTGTCTAGAGCGGGTAATTTAGGATAGTGTTTCAAGACGTGTATCCTCACCTCTAAGAGCCTATGTAGAGCGTCTGCTCTCAGCAAGACACCAAGGAAGAGCGGCCAAAAAAGCCATTCATGCCGTGTTATGCCTGGAACTTGCAGGTGGACTTCCTCCATTAAACTGTGGCTTGTCCAACAGTTTACTCCTCTTGGTCTTTAAAACTCACTTCTCTCTTCACTTCAGAGGTGACACGACAGCTTAAGCCTTTTGTTCTCACGTTGTAATTCAACACTGCAAAGCCTCCCCTAAAAACCACAAATATTTACTGCTTAAATCTACACGAAAACATTTGTGTGCAAACRTAAGGATCTGGTAGGGGAAGAGGCCGCCTCATTTCAGGCTGTTTTTGGTTTGCTTGGCCGGTCATAATCCGTGAGGACTTGGCAGGCTGGCAGGCTCCTCTGCGAGCCCGGAGGCAGCACACGGCTGCCAGCCTCCGGATGCTGCCGGGCTCCTCGAGGCTTTCGCCGAGGAACGCCGCAGGCTTCACGCATGACACAGAGCCTCAAATAGAAGCCCTGCTATAACTCATCTTGTGACACCATCGCAGTAAACCTGCTAGCCAAGAGTTTCTGTTTCTCCTAAAGTTAACCCAGGCCATTTTTGGCATTCCTCAAGGGCCTCCGTGTGGATGCTCTTTGGGAAAGTGATAAGCAGATCCT